CTCTAAAATTATGAAAAATTATTTTAAAAAAAAAATGCTTGTAAACTAAATAATGATGCAAAAATGATGTTTTGAAAGTATATATACTATTCGGAAAAAATATGAGGGCAAAATTGGGTATCAACAGCAGCTGACCGTTGCCAACGGTCAACTATACCCTAAAAATAATTTGAGATAGTCGTTGAACCGGTCTGGGCCTGTCCGGTTAACCGGTTCAAACATGACTTGACAGTACTGGTTCTGACCGGTCTGGTTAACCGGTACCTCTATCCTACCCGGCACAATCCATTCCCCATCCCAACCCAACCTAGCCCTGCCCAGCCCCCTACCTACCGGTCCGGTCTAAAATTAATCTGGGCCGATCCGGAACCGGGTCAACCCAACCCGTTTGACACCTTTAGTATAATATCACTCAACTTTTCTCCTAACATACTTGGAGTTCGGGGTCATACACCCACCAAATTGAAGGTCTATAAGTCTTAATTTCTAATGCATTAAACTGTTCATCAATAAGATGTCAGAGTAGAGAGATATTCGTATTTTTGCGAGACTGCACATGTAGCCCCTTTGGGACCCACTTGAGGCGTTGGAAGTTTCTTGATTCTATTTAAAGTGATGGACCATCTATTTTGGGTTATTTTTGATCAGACCAGATCCTGGACAACCCCTAAATTCTTTCTAAATATTCCCCCATGATTCAAGAGTGAATCTAAGGCCAAACTACCCAAGTCTGTCATCAAAAGTATTGTGAGACTAGAGGAAAGTGCTTCTATTGTGATATTGTCATGTAGAGGGATGTTCTAAGTTGAAGAAAGTACTTATTGAAGATTGTTCTTGTTATATAAGGTAAGTTTTCCCCTTTTCTTCTTGTACTTGAGCATATCCAAGCTTTAGCTGAGTTGGGCGGATCAGTAAGTTACAAGATAACATTTGGAAGTTGTTTGTAATGTAGTTGAGTTGTGTTTGATTGTTTACTGTTGTTCGTATGATAGGTATAAGGATGGAAATGATTTGAATATACTTGTTTAGATGCTGGGAGTATAAACATATAGTATATGAGTTAGGTTGACGATTTGATTATGCTTAGAAGATGTAAGTTACAAGTTAAAGATGTAACTAAAGTGATGTTTGTATTGTATAATGTGTTGGGGGATTTTTGGTGATCATTTTGTTATAAGAAATATTTTTACAATTGATGAAGTTTCAAGGATTAGAAGGGAGCTAGGTGAAGATATATGTCGTAAAAGCTTGTATTGGATGATTTTTCCGTTTGTCGGCTTGTTGTTATGTTTCTCATGGTTATTAGTAGTATTGTCTTCTTGATTGTAGCTTGAGTTGCAAGGGAAGCTGATTTCGTCATTCCGTTGAAGGTCGGCTTAGAGGTATGTAAGGCTAATCGTACCCTTTTCTTTGGCATGAATCCATAGCAAGTTCCCTTTTCAATAAACGAGTTTCATATGAAATAATAAAAAAAAGTTCTCTTTAGGGGTTCAATTGCCTGTATGCTCCTATTTCATTGTTTCCCCGATACTATAAGATTCCTATATCTATTTATGGTTCGTGCTCCTCGTAGGAAATGCAACTAAGTTATAACGGCTTTCTTGTAGAGGCATCTGTCGTATAATGACGCTTAGTATGAGTTGCTCCGTATATGTGCTAGATTGCTCTAGACGTTTCCTTATGTAATGTTGTAGTAGTGATATGAGTTCCATATGTTCATTCGTATTCACTTGTATTTGTCCAAAAATGCATACGAACCACAACGACTCCTTCGTAAGAAGTCATGTGGTAAAGGCCCACTCGTATGGATTGTTCTACCCATGCTCATTGGTAGCTCCATATATGTCTTAATTAGTAGTATCCTGATAGGTTCAGTTCCATGTACTTGTTAGTAACTTCTCGTTCTATTTAGAAAGTGTTAATACAAGCTGTAGTGATTCCCTTATGGGAATTATAGCACAAGGACGATAGAGAGTAACCCTATGGGAGCTGTTTGTTGTTGATATATGTAGCGAGGATGAGATGAGATTCCTATTTGATGGATAGATACTTCTTGTAATGTGCTTTAACGACCTAGGTAGTAGTGATATGAAAACTCCCTTTTGTGGAGGTATGTTGATGTTATGATAGACGCGTATAACGGACAGGTCTGAAGACCTGGCAAGTACGAGAGTGCTAGCCTGCCGATACGGGCATGATAGCCTGGTAGATGATGGATACGCTAGTTCGAAAGTACATGCTTATTAGTTGGGTATGAGATGATAGTACCGGTACGCGAGCCGGAAATGTAACTTAAGAGTCTAGCACATACGTACGAGACAATACGAGTAGTTAGCATTTCAGTTTTATGTATTCGTGCGACTGACGTATGATAGACTAGACATGATATGAGTTGTGAGATGTTGTTACATAAAGTGCATAAAGACAACGCTACAAAGCAATGGTACGGGTCCCGTTTGGTAAGACTATTGTATATGACCTTCTAGACTTATTGTAAGATGTGAGCTATGATCTTTAGGTGATCTTGACCCTTATTTTATCCGGTTATCTTCCTTCAACATTCTTTTATTTGATTATAATATTTATTTATGATTATTCAGTTGCCTTACATACTTGGTACATTATTTCGTACTGACGTCCCTTTGGCCGAAGATACTGCATGTCATGCTGCAGTTTTAAGTAGGCAGTTTGACGGACCCCAAGAATAAATACTCACACTTCTAGCAGTTGATTGGCGAGACTCCATTTCATCTGGAATCCAGTCGAGTCTAAATGTTATTTGATTTTATGATGTACAAGGTTTTACGGGTAGGTCGTCGTCCTGTCCCTACTAGGTTATGTCTGTCAGATGTTCTTAGAGGTTTTTGTAGACATATATGTACCTGTGGTCAGTTGGTGTATGCTAGACAAGTGCCTATGTTGGTTGAGGCCTTGCGGGCTATATATGTACGTTTGGAACTTTCTGATTGCAGGTGTTGTAAGTGTGGTTAGTTTACTAGTTTTACGGAATGGGTCGCTCACATATGTGTTAAGACATTAAGTGTCTGTCCACCTCACCTGGGTTGGGGTGTGACAGTATAGAACCTGAATTGTTGTACGAGATGATTAAGGAATTCATTTGATGCTTCTGATTTCCTCGGACAAATAATCTTCTGGCTCCTGCATTACAAGCTCTCTAGTTTAGTGTACAGTTTTACCTGCCGGAACCCACCCTAGTAAATGTCTTGTTGGGGGCGTTGTGGTTCGCTTTCTGTCTATGGTTGGCTCAAGCATACTTGCCCAATTAATATTTACATATGCCATGCCTAAGTTCATTAAATGTATTGTCCTATTAGAGCAACCACTTTAGTTTCCAGGGATGATTTTTTTTTTTTTTTTTTTTTTTTTTTGTAATTTAAGAATTCTTGGTTATATTCCTTTGTTTTCTTATGCTAAGAGATGAAGTATATAATTTGAAGAAAAGTGCAGCCCATGTCCTTCTACATGTTCAACATTTTCTGATTAAGATCCGGAGGATGCTTCAGCGAGTGACCGTTAGTTTGACGACATGTTTTGCAAAGAATAGTCTCGTAACGGCTAACCGAAATTGATCGATTCAATACATCAAGGCTATGATCAACTAGGTCATTTTAGTACTAGTTGAAATGGATTTGTTATCTTCTTGTTTTGGCACTCAAATACGATAACTCATTGAATGAAATAATCTAGGAAAAGATAAATTAAACATGCACGCCTTGTTTGTTCAAACCAATAAAAGCATTATATGTCTCATTCCTTGTAAAGTTAAATCGATATTTAATTTGCAACTCAAAGCAATTTTATTAATTGTTTAAGTATGATAAAATTTGTTCGGTACCCACATTGAAACCCGACTAAATTCGGATTCGCACTGAAAAATTTCACATAGGGGGTAAAGCATTCCCAAGGGCATTTTAACGTTATTGGTAGCCTAAAGCTAAATCTTGATACAAGGTAATGTTTTTCTTTAAAAAAATAATAATAATTTCCTATATGGTTTATTTGAAGTATACTTTTTCAACTGTTTGAGATGCAAAGTTATAATATTACGTAACAGTTTAATGTAATCTAGTTCTTCTAATAATTCATTTTCAAATGTTAGTATAAATAATCTATTTTATTTTTTTTTGCGAGGCATTATTGATCATATGTAAGAATTTTATCAATATTAATTTAACTGCAAATGCAAGTATGTAGTTGTTATGGGCACATTATACTACAAGAAATATAGAGATTTCAAAAAAAATCAAGTCTTTTTATTTGATTCGAAAAATAAGTTTAAACCATCAATATCATAGTTACTATTATATTTTAAAGAACTCTCAAAGTTAAGACAATGTATTTGCAGATTCTTATCATTTAGTGGTCTTATTTTTTTCTACTAATAAAAATTCAAAAATATTTTCATACATATCGACTTATTTAAATCTCAACGATCTGCATCAATAACAAACCAAAGTTTTCTTTTCTTTTTTATTAAATTTTTTATATTTTTTACTTTAATATACTCACTTTTAAAAAAATTAAAATTAATTTATACACTTGCTGCTAGCAAAAAACAGGCCGCCAAATCTTTGAGGGCCTAAAGCCCTTGCTTCGGCTACCTTACTCTCCTGTCATTCTTGAGCACTCCCTAACAAAGGCAACTCTACAAAAGGCTCAAACTCCAGACCTTTAGAATGAAGGAATACTTACTATTGCAACACATGCCATTATTGATTCCAAATATCGTGTAACTGTTGTGCATGTACATATAAGTTCTGCAATTAAATTTCTTTTTTTCACATGAAGGCAATAATGTTCATTAAAATGTACAAGTAGAAACATAAAATTAGCTTAAAAGAAAAAGAAGGTTTAATACTTTATATGAACTTACATTGTAAAAATTCTTTTACAATATAAGACAATCTAAGAAATAATCACATATACTGTCCATAATAAACGAAATCAATAACCTGAAAAAAATAAGATAAGTAACATGGTAAAACAACTTCAAATACATATAGTATAGAAAATGTATAACTAGCAACTCATAGTCGTCTCAACCTGGTTACAAAATACAAGGTTGAAGGGGAAATTCCAACTTCCAAGCAGTCCTAAGAAGTCTGGTCTTATCATTGAATTAAAACTAGAATGTCGAATGATTATTTACAAAAACCAACTTTCAACTCGTAGCCATTACTTAGCCGCAAGCTTTGTGTCACGATCTAGCCAAGTCAACGCAACATCATTAAAATAAAAAAATTAAAATATTTCCACCAGTCAAAACGAAAAAACAAAACTAACTTTGACTCATTCACCACCTTTCTTTGTGCCTTTAGAATGGGTGTACATTCCTGGTCAATCCACCATTCACATTAGTGAAAAACCCGACGAGCTCCGGCCGGTAAGGAAGATACGATCGTCGCCGTTCTTCATCTCTTGCTTTACTCTTCATATAAGCTTCATGTGCTAACACTGCTTCACTCTTCTTTACAACTTTCTTCTTCTTCTTCTGCGTAATTACTTTATTGACTTTAACCTCATCACTAACACTTGTCTCTTTCTTCTCCAAAACCTTATCTTCTTCTTTCTTAACGACCTTCGACGTTGTTGTAGGGTTCAAGAACACGAACGCGTCTCTTCCGTCACTGTTACTCCGACGAATGAAATCTCGGAATCTCCAAAGTTTTGAAAACCCAGTGGAATTGCTCTTTTTGCAACCCTCAGCTGGATTTGTATTTGGTTCGACCGCTTTTTTTGACCATTCACAGTACGGTCCTGAGATTTCTACATTCTCGTTGGGTGATGAGGAAGTTGTCGGAGGATTATTATTTTCTGTTTCGACGAAAACTGTGTTGACAGGTGGATGTACAGGTTGCCGATTTTTTAAATTGTTAAAGTCAATATCAGACAAGAGAAGATCTTTGTTGAACAACGGAAAAAATGGTCTGATTTGACCATTATCAAATGCTTCTTCTGCTGCTATCGGTGATGTGACTGTGAGTACTCCACATATAAAAGAAAAATCTTCATCATTAGCATCAACAAGTTCAATCTCATGATGATCATCAATATCCTTTTCTTCGTCATCATCATCATCATCTAATTCTTCATATTTAGGTTCATCTTCTTGAATCAAATCATCCTCAGATGATTCTTCTTTTACTTTCAGCTCTTCGGTTAGTTTCTCTGTGCCCTCTAGAAAAGTTGAGATATCGGGTAGCATTTTTCTAGGAAGACCCAAATGGCCAGAAAACTGAATTTCACTTTGATTTTCCAGGGATGTACAGTAGTAGGGGGAGAGAATTGAAATAACTACTCTTAGTCGTATAGAGGGAGGAGGAGAGAGTTTGAATTATGCTAGGATGGTTTTGAATTAAATGAGGGGTATATATTGGGTAGTTGAGGAGTGACATGACGATATTGGTGGCATTAAAAAAGAGAGAGAAAATAATTCTTTGGAAAGTGATTAGAAAATTTGGGGAGCAAGGAAAAAAGAAATGGAAAGGGGAGAGAAAGTAAGAGGAAAGTGAAGATTATTTGGAGAAAGTAAAAACGTTAGCGCGTTAGAGATGCGAAATTGTGTCAGGGTGGGGCTGGGAACTTTTGACCTTTTCGCTAGTTTTGGATGCTTACATTTTACACGTGTTTGGTATACAAATATTCTTCACTCGTGCTAATTGGGATGGAATGGCTGTAACTTTCAAAGTAGGCCGCACGTAACATTTCAGGATAATTCAGTGATTAAAATGTCAAGATTCAAGTAATACTAGATGTTGTGTCTAATAAGTTGGTATTAGCAATTGGAATTGAAGGAAGAAAAATGTCTTTATCCCCTCTACGTATACTAATCAAGGTTATTATTCAATGAAGATACGCGTGGTCATTACTTAAAAATAAACTTATCCATGTCCAATTTAATAGAAGAATGCTTTGAACAATTAACAATAATTCACTTGACAATGTGCTTTTTTGACACATCCAATTGCTGTTTCTTATTTAACTTCTAGTAGAATTAGAAGGCGAATCCAAACTCATTAGTTGGCAATGCAATTGGTTGCCAGCAGAAACATATGTACAACGTTTTCCTTCTCATTTGTTTAATTCATGTTTAAGTTGTGTTTGCCCGAAAAATCAGATAACGTTAAATTTATGTATGGTTCTAACGATACGTGATACCCTTTGATATAAATCGTATAGAGAGATAGTAATATGAATATTCTTAACTATGAGAATGAGAATAATGAACAGAAAGAATAAGTAAAATGAACAATCACAAAGAGATATCTTTTTTGCCAGTGTATTCCGTGTATGCATAGCTTACAAGGATCCCCTTTTATAGTAGAGGGTCATTACTTTATTTATAACAAAAAATAATAAAATAGAGCATATAGTGGATGACCCATGATGATTTATCTCTTCCTCGATTCCCGCCAAGATTCTCTCTCTTGGTTCGGTTGAAACGACTCTTGTCTGTGAGCTCGATACTGGCTCGAACTCGTTACTGGGTCGAGCTCTTCGGTCTTGACTTGAGTTCGACCTTCGGGATGGGCGTCGCGCATTTCCGACCTCGAAGCAATGCCTGCGGATTGATTTGGTCACGGGCTCGATAATCTGACTCCTCGAGCAGCCTTCAGACTCAAGGCTCGTTTGTACTTTCTTCGGAGCTCACTCCCAAAATCTCACTCCGATTTCTTACCACTTAAACTCGATCGAACGTAGGAAGGCCGAAATCTATTTCGACCATATATAGATAGTCCCCTAATTTCTCACGAAGGATGCGGTGAGAATCGATTATGACGTATGTGATAGTTGTCCTATCGATTTAGTCTTTCAAGGTATTTAATGCTTGTCAGATGGTGGTCGGCCACCTCTGATATTGAACCGTCATGATGTGAGCCTATAAATAACCCTTCCATTTAACATTTACCACTTTTACGCATTCACTCTTCCAAATTTTCTTATCCTTTATCTCTATTTCGTCGCTTGCAGAGCCATCTATACCAGAGTTTTGGTGTCATCAATTTTTCACTTTCCTTTGCCTTTCTTCCTCTCATATCAATGGCCAAAACTTCGAAAATTATACCTCAGAAGGAGAAAGCTTCTTCTTCACGGCCGTCCGGCGACAAGGAGTCGGTGGAGCCGTCCACCTATGACTATGTTCCCGGCCCGTGTACTCTGAAGATCGATTTTAAGGTTGAGAATCCTTCATTTGTTCCGGGTCGATACGAGCACGCGTCGATGTACATGTGCTCTATAACGGAGGGTCATCTCGAGGCCGTTAGGAAAGACTGCAACTGGGGTTCCGAGGTTGTGTTGCAAATTCCATCCCCCGAAGAGAGCGTCATCACCCATGTGGAGGGAGTTTTAAGTGTTTACACTTATTCCTTCACATTGGGTCCCGTCGACCCGGTGATCATTGATTTTTGCAAAAGATATCAGGTCACCCTTGGTCAAATTCATCCCTCTCTATGGCGTATAGTAATCTTACTTCGCTTCTTCTCCATCAAAGCCCGGGGCTGGATTTTTTCCTGAATCACCTCATACGATTGTATCGGCCTCAAATCTTTCGAGGACTAATCAAACTTTATCGTCGGGCATCGAAGGCTTTGATGTCGAGTATCGACAAAGACAAGAATCGGTGTTGGATGGGCCGTTATATTCGGGTGAGGACCCGTTACCATATTCCGGAAGAGAAGATGTCGTTCCCCGAGGAATGGAATTTCGACCGTAAGTGGTTCTCATAAGACGTTGCTTTTCGTATCTTTTCCCGATTTTTTCTGATGTCTTTCTCCGATATACAACTTCCCCTTGGATGCCACAAGCGGTGCCCGACCTCGAGGATTGGGTTCGGAAGTTAGCCTCGACTTCCTCTTATGCCGAACGCGCTTGGCGTGATTTGGCAAAAGGTAGATGGGAGGCCAAGAATCATGGTAAGGTTTTACTTCTCATTTCCTTCGAAGTGTTCTTTGTGATCCATTCGTTACCGATTTTCTTTCATGCAGGTGTAACCAAGGATGCCGCTTTGAGGCCTTCAAGCGGTGAAGAAGGAACCAAGTCCCCGGTCCCGAAATCGGAGAAAGATAAGAAGCGAAAAGCTGCCTCTCGGTCAGAGGACCCCAAGCCCAAAACTCGAAGGGTGAGGAGGAAGGCAATTGCCCTTTTGATTGACTCGGTCCAACGACTGAGAGAAGAAGAAGAAGACGAATAAGAAGAAGAAGAAGAAGACGGTGCCTCGGCTTTGGTGATCCGATCTGCGAAAGCTATCGAGGTCACCAGAGCTCTTGAGCCGATGGCGGCTTTACCGGTCGGGGTCGATCCTGGAATCCCGAGTCTCGATCGGAGCGCCCCGAGTGATTCGCTTGGGGCTATGACAGTGGGTCATTCGCCTTCCCTTCCAACCTTTTCTGAGGAGGCGTTAAACGAAGCTCGAGAATTGAAGACCCCCGATATGGGCGGAGGCTCTAGTGTAGGGGACCCCTTTCGGGATTGCTTTACTGGAGTCGATGATGCTTTCGATATTGGTGATGCTTCTCTTATACTAGAAGAGGCCCAATGTTTCATTACTCAGGTAATGATTTTACTATACTTGGTTTCTTTGTTCTTTTCCAAACTTGACTTGTATTCTTTCCCTACTGTGCAGGCCATTAGTAGGTTTCGAGTCGACCTTAGCCAGTGTGCGGTCGAGCTTCAGAAGGTCTAGGGGTAGAAAGACGCCCTGCGGCTTCTTTGCAGCCAAAAGGAAGAGCCTATGAAGGACCTCCAAGCGGATTTGGCTAAGGTTTGTGAAAAAGAGGTCGAACCCGATAAGCAGGTGAGCCTCGTTTTGTTAAAGTATGGGTTTGACTCAACTGTGGAAGTTAACCCTTCGGTGTCTCAGCTAAAGCAAAAGGTTAAAAAGATCGGGTTACTTCGGGAAGAAGTTGATTAAATCAAAGCTGAATGTAATCAGTGGAAGGAGACTATCGACCGCCTGACTGCGAAAAAAGAAATCATTTTGACCAAATTATTATCGGCCGATGTTCAGCTTCGAAACATCAAGCAAAAGGGTTCGGCTCAAGCTAAGAGGATCAAGGAGCTTGAAGCACGGCTTGCTGAGGCCAAGGCGGAGGTTGAGTCATCGGAAGTCATGGCGGATAAGTCCATTACCGTGTATCGGGCTGATGCCGAGGCTGCTCAGATGGAGGCACGAGAGGCGGCGGATACTGCCGACACTCGAGCACATTGGGTTGCCGAACTTGCTAAATGTAGGTCTCGGAGGGAGACCCTCGAAGAGATACACGCTCGAGGTTTTGACCTTACTGAAGAGATAAAAAAAGGCTAAAGAGCTCGAAGCTGAAGCTGAAGCCTTTGCTTCTGTTAGCGATGATGATGATGATGATGACGGTAGCAAGAGCGGATCCGAGGACGGGGAAGAGCCTGACAGAGAAGAAAACGCCCCTGAGGATGATCAGGAAGCTTAGTTCTTAATTTTTTACGTTTGTAATCAATCATGTAGAAGTTTTTGTATATAGACAACTTGGCCGACTTGTGAAGACTTTATACGTACCTTACAAATGTTTTCACAAGGATCTTAACAATTTAATCAAATTTGAACTTCGTAGTCTCTATGATTGATTGTTTTTTTAGGCTCGAAGTGATCTAAGCCCTTAGGCTTACTAGTTGAGTCTATGACTCGAACTCGAAGAAATATAACCCGTAGGTGTAATGGTCGAGTGAGTGCTTACTCAAATTCATAATAAAAGTAGCCCATAGGCTTAGTCGTCGAGTGGATGATTCGAACTCGAAGTAATGGAGCCCGTAGGCGTAATGGTCGAGTGAGTGCTTGCTCGAACTCGTAATAAAAGTAGCCCGTAGGCTTAGTCGTCGAGTGAACGATTCGAACTCGAAGTAATGGAGCCCGTAGGCGTAATGGTCGAGTGAGTGTTTGCTCGAACTCGAAATAAAAGTAGCCCGTAGGCTTAGTCGTCGAGTGAACGATTCGAACTCGAAGTAATATAGCCCGTAGGCGTGATAATTGAGTGGGTGCTTGCTCGAACTCGAAATAAAAGTAGCCTGTAGGCGTAGTCGTCGAGTGAATGATTCAAACTCGAAGTAATATAGCCCGTAGGCATAATGGTCAAGTGAGTTCTTGCTCAAACTCGTAATAAAAGCAGCCCGTAGGCTAAGTCCTCGAGTGAATGATTCGAACTCGAAGTAATATAGCCCATAGGCATAATGGTCGAGTGAGTGCTTGCTTGAACTCATAATAAAAGTAGCCCGTAGGCTAAGTCGTAGAGAAAATGATTCGAACTCGAAGTAATATAGCCCATAGGCATAACGGTCGAGTGAGTGCTTGCTCGAACTCGAAATAAAAGTAGCCCGTAGGCTTAGTCGTCAAGTGAATGATTCAAACTCGAAGTAATGTAGCCCGTAGGCGTAATGGTCGAGTGAGTGCTTGCTCGAACTCAAAAAAAATAGC